TGACTTGTGTACTTTTACATGGCTTTCACTGCCTTATTTCACTAACTGATCCTCTTGGGGAAGGCTGTTCATGAGAAAAAAAATTAAACTAGGGAGCCCCGACTCTGTTCATTTTTAGAATCTTATGAAACCAGTTCTGGCTCATACAATCTGAATAAATAGTTGCTTCAAGCTCTTAAAAACCCAAGCCAATCCCACCCTAATGGAGGGTCTTTTGGAGCGTTTCGAACTTTTTAAACCCTGGGGTGACATAGCACTTCAGTTCCTTCTGGTGAGAAGATGCTACCTACAAAACCAGATTCAAGAACACTATTCTGGAATGAAAACCATCATCCTACACATCCATGGCGATTAAGAATTGTGTTTTAAAATTGGCTGACTCACCTTTGATACATACACGTAACTGGAGTTCCACAGGGTGGACTCAGAGTATTCTGGTTAGACACTAAAAAGTACCCCCTTGGGAATTCACAAAGACCTTACCTGAGGGCTCACAGTAGGGTCTTATCAGCTACCACCAGGCTTGTTCCTAAGAACTCAGCTGCCTCAGGTTCTGCTGGCAACCTTACCAGAGAGAAGGGTGGTGTTTAAAGTATTTAACAACTGGGCAGAGGCACTGATCTATCAAAACAGATATTGGTTGTAAAATCTGTCCAGGCATGCTCGTGTTTGCTGGTTAGTTTCAGGCCCTCCAGGCCAAAGGCACTGCTGGCGGCTCCTTGGCCTGGCCTTGTCTATCAGGCCCGGCGTCCACAGGCTCCCACCAGTGAGTGTGTGTGGCGGCTGCTGTAGTGGCCTGGAGGTTTGTGGCAAGTGGCAATCCTCTGCTATCTCCAGGTAATGTGAGAGGAAATGTCCTCTAGGTGGAAATGTCACCTCTAGGTGATGTGTGTGAGGAAGAGAGCCCTGCTGTCAGAGCCAAACACCACCAGGGTTGGCAGTGAAACAGCTCCCACCATGTTGGTTTAGCGCCTTCTCCCTTCCTAGACCCTGGAGAAGCCGTTTGCCCAGGCCCCACTGGCACAAAAAGCCTCAAATTTAGACTTTTGATATAATTTCCAAGCGAGGTTGAATATACAGCCCCAGAGATAAGCTAATTGAAGAGAAAGGAAAGATGGTTGTCTTTAAATCTGGTCTTACTTCCAGACAAGAGTCTAGAATCTCTCATCGATTCCCATGTTTATAAATCCTGTCATTTCTCTGGGGATATCAAGCTACACACAACATGTTTTAGTTGTTGTAATCACCATTAAGATGTTAAATATACATATTTTTAAAACAGTCATTTTTGTCATGGGTTTTGTCACTATGTTTTGGATACTTGCTGTATATATTTTATTAAAAATTTTTTTCTTTGCTTTATTTTATTGAAGTATAGTTGACTTACAAGATTACATTAGTTTCAGGTGTCACATTTTAATATATGGCAGGCGGGGAAAATGGGAATGGCGAAGGTCTGGGTCTTCCCAAAGTGACTGGTCTGTTGGTCTCACAACCAAAGCTGTTATCACGTCAGGCTAGTTGGCCTGACCTTCTCTTCCCTGGTGGTAGCTTTGTTCCCCAAAGTCTCCTCAGTCTGTCTTACAAATAGTCTTCCTCTTGGGCTGCCTGAGGAAGCCGGAGAAGACCAGGCTGACTGAATTCAAGGGGGCCCAGTTTAGGCTAAGCCTGGGAGTCCAAGACTCACAGTGGGAGCTCAGTAAATATGCCCCAACCTCAAAAACACGGCCTGCATACCCAGAGTAGTGATGGAACTGAGGTTTGCTAATGGGATCCTGACCTCGGGGCCAGAGGAATGGGAAGGGAGCAGGGAAGCAGCCAGGCCCCAGGCCCTTCTTTCCCCACCTCCACTCTTTCCACTACAGAGGCGCCATGTTTACCTGACTTACTGACCACCTCCTCAGCTTCCATTTGTGAAAAGGAGTTCACAGCTTCAAACATGTTCGAGAACAACTGCCTTAGGATGTTCACCTGGCTAGCGGAAGTGTGAACGTCTTAAATCTCAGACTGTGGCATCTTGAGTTTAGAACGGTCTTAGAATGGATGAGGCGCAGCCCTTTCAGATGGGTTCTAGTGACCTGGGTTCCAGTGCAGAGAACCTGTGCTCATATAGTGAATATTGTTCTTGGTTTCTGACCTTTTCAGGGCAGATCTGAGTGGAAAAAGGAGTGCTGGTGGGGTAATGGGGGTGCTTCAGGAAACCCTCCCCACAGCCAGTTGTTTGAATCATGAAACTAGAAGAGCCTGGGAGACCCAGCTCCTGAGATGGAGGAGCAGGCATGGGCCTCCTGGGCCAGAGGCTGCTAGGGTCAACTTTGCACCAGCCACTGTGTGAGCTTAGGCCAACCGCACATCTTCTGGACTTCTGTTCTCCTTGTGTGAGATGCCCCAGATGGCCATGTTTTCCACCTCACCTATCTGTTGTTGGCTGCAGGTACTAGGATTTCAAATTGAGCTCAACCCCACCCTATCAGCTCAATTATAACTTGTCTATGAACGCATTTACTAAAAATGCACTCACCTTGAGTCATAGCTTTTTGAAAATGAATTTAAATTCATTAACTTCTAGTCATTAAAACAAAGCATTCTTTCCATTTTAGAGGGGTTGGCCAAGGAAGACCTGCAAGACTTTTCATTACACACAGTAACATTAGGGGGTGCAATCAGAGAGCTTAGGGTTTTTGTTTTGTTTTGTTTCATTTTTCAGTATCTCAGATGATTTAATTACCTTGTCCTGGGTTGCATAACTCATTCCTCTTTGTACTTTAATTTTCCCAGCTAGGAATATAGAAAAACTTGCTACCTTCAAGTGCAGAAATAGTATGATAATTATTAAACACAGTTTAAATATTCAGAATTTCCTGGCTGAAACTATGGTTTAAAACGTAAAGAAGTTGTTAAATATTTCATTAACCTTCAACATCTTTGTAAAACAGACTAAAATATAATCCCAAAAGGAGAGATGAAGTTAACTTTTCAAAACCATAGAGCGAGATATACACATATATCTGTATAATTGCCTCTGGGTACCAAGAGATGTTTAAGACAATATAGGAAAATTTATGAAAGTAATAATTAAAGGTTTGTATTTATCTAAATATAAACTACATATAGCACACATCAAAGCTGTATTCCTTTAGGATTTTAGGAAAAGATTTAGGCTTCCTCTCCTACATAATAAAGGTTCATTTAAAATTAAACGTAAAAATAATTTATGGGATTTATTCATTTATCATTTCTTTTCAACAGCATAAACTGTTGCACTTTAAATTGAATCTTGTGCATACATTCAACCTTTACAAGCACACATATATCTTACCTTCCTTTGGGATAACTGTGAACTTGTGCAATTTAACCAATTAAGAGTACGCTGTGCTTTCAAAGCCATATCAAAATTAAATAGTCAATTTTTAATTGTTATCATGAAGTCCCCTCCAGGACAAAGTTTCTTTTCATCTTCTTTGTGACGGTAGCACTGACTCTATGTAGTTAACCCTTTTGTCGATATCACCACCTCAACCCGCCCTCCAGCGCAATCTTGCCAGAATTCAGAGAACTCCGCCACTCTTTCTCTTTACCCCTGTTTCATTTGTCTGCTCTCAGACTTAGGAACCAAACGTTACACTTAGAGAAAGGGGCAGCTCTGCTGCAGAGAGGGCTGGGCTGTCTTAAAAGATGACCCAGGTATTCATTCTTGACTAGAAGGAGGGAAGCAAGACAAGGCTAAACAGGGAGTGAACAGGCGAGGAAGAGAACTTCCCAGTTCCGGAGGAGGTGCCACTCAGTGCCTCTGTGAGAGAGATTGTGGGTGCAATTCAAGATCAGACAAACCCACAATGTAAACATAAGTATACAGACCCATCCCAAGGTACAAGATAAATGCCCTTTGTACCATTTAGTGTTTTGGATTATTCATGAAATTCCAATACATGGCCTGGGGATGAATTATAACATTAAGGGGAGCAGAGCAGAGGGAAGCAGTGGGAAGGAAGGTGTTATTTGTATTTATTTTCATTTCATATTATGATTAGTTTCTATTCCTTTGAAAACTAACTGAATAGGTTAAGGCAACTAAAAGTGTCTGTGTGTTTGTGAAAATTGTCAATGTGGATGCGAAGCAAAACGTTTGGTTTAGCGAAGATAACTGAAATGAATTAAAACTTTTCCAGATTTCACTTCTGGAAGGAAAAGTAGGAAACCTCAGTCCGAAAGGCCAGTTTTAAAGAAAGCAAGAGCAAATAAGCAGAGATTTTAGGCTGTAAATAACGCTCCAATTCATTACAAACAGATGCTGGGAACTTAAAAAGAAAGTTATGTGTATTGATTATGTAACTAATCATTTTAAGAAGCCCACTTAAAATGCTGATTTTTAAAAGCGTGATTGCTACAGATTGTCCATTTGTGACAGTAAATGAAGATGTGTGTGTATGCCGGTGTGGATGTGTTTACACGTGCGATTATCTTGCCGGTCCGTCTTCCCCACGTGAAAAAGATTTGTACATCATAACATCAACGCAGCTGGTGGGACCCGTCTTATTAGTGGTGGGACCCGGCTTATTATTAGTGGGACTCAGTCTTCACATTAAGGCTCCTTGTCACTCCTGCCACCAAATCCTGTCCCCTTCTCTCCAGGCACCTAGCACGCTCACGTGTGTCTCTCTCTCACACACACACACGCACACGAGTGAGACAGGCGACCAGCTGGCTTCTCTCGCGGTCACCCGAGCCCAGCTGCCTCGCTTTACCTCTCGCCCAGGGAGGATGCCGGCCGCCGCTGGCTCTGTCGCTGCCATCCGTCTCCGCTGCTCGCCCCTTGGGTTTCAGCAGACTGGGGCCCTCTGCGTTTTCAACAGGTACCATGGTCACGTAGAAGTTACAGCCGTTCCCTCGGCACCAAAGCACCCCAACTTCCCCCACTGACAGCAGCGGTCACTTGCCCCATGGTCGCATGCTAAAGAAAGGTGGGGGGGGGGGAACCGGGCAAAGCCAATGTGATTTGTGACCAACTTTGTTTCTATTTCCGAAAGCTTTGCCCTTTTCGGTGACACAGGCTGTTGCTATTCCAAGCAGCCTATCACAGGCAGTGGGAGGGCCGAATCTCGGAGGATTGTTTTTGCCTTCAGATGCAGAGTTGGAAGCAAAGGGTTTCGAGGCTTGGGAACCAGAGCTCCGAGCTCGTGCTCTGACAGCGTTTGGCCATTAGCTGGGCGGGGGCAGCTCTCCTCTTCCTGCACCTTTGAAAAGAGGCAGGGGGGTGGGGGGAAACGTGCAGATTCAAGCGCAAACAGAGAGTGAGTGCCCAGAATACTCACAGATGGTATTAGCTAATCTTGCAGAGGGAGGAACAATTTATGCAAAGACATACCAGCAGGGAAAGTGTGTCAATTTTTCAGTAAGACTGTTATTCCACGAGTCGTGACACTTAGCAGCTTCAACAAAGTATGAAACATCTTCATTTTTTCCAACCTGATTCTGCCCTTCCTGAATGTGGTATATACTCTCTCTCCAAGGCGGGTCAGACAAATCAGGGCCCGAGACCAAACATGCACAAGCATAGAAGGCGCAGGTTCTTTGGATTTTTTATACTCTGGGGTTACAGCAACGTGATCCCGTTTGTTTATTCAGAGTTGTCTGAATAAACAGACAGAGTTGAAACTTCTGTCGGGTTCTGTGATAGCCCAATTGCAGGACGGGGGTATTTCTAATTCAGACAGACCACACTAAATGGCCCATTGTGTGGGTGTGGTGATCACACAATATGAAACAAAATCAGAACAGGAGGAGGAGGATTTTTTTTTTCTGATTTGTGAGTATATTTATGTAAAAGGTCTTATAGAGTTCTGGCATTTTTACCTTCAGTTAAATACTTAGCAGATCAAGGTGGGAGGGTGTAGCTCAGTGGTAGAGTGCATGCTTAGCATGCATGAGGTCCTGAGTTCAATTCCCAGTACCTTCATTAAGAAAAGAAAGAGAAGAAAAAATATTTAGCAAATCATATTTATTGAAAAATTTTAGGAAATTGGGATCACTTTAGAAAAATCATTAGGAGTGAAAACTAAAATGTATGGAACGCTGATTATGTCAGAAATTGTGCCAAGGGCATGAACTCAAATGATTCTCTTGGAAAACAAACAAATAAACAGACCTGCTAGGCAGGTACCCATATTACAGAATAGAAAGTGGAGATTAAGTGCATTGCCTCAAAACTCACGGCAAGTCAGTGGCAGAGCTGAGACTGGGAAGCCGGGTGGTCTCATAGCTCACCTAACTTTCCAGCCTTGTTCTTCTCTGATTTTCGTGGTTTCCTTCACTTTCAGCCCTTTTTGACCTTCAGAAGATGCCATGAAATACGGCTTTTGGTCCTAGTCATTCCTCTGGACCGAGAAGTGAGTTTGTGCTTGTGTCGGCAGAAACTGAACCATCGGCCTTTTGGCTGGATCCTAACGCTGCTCGGCTCGAAACAAACTTCTGATTTGTACATCCCTTTGCTCAGCACTAGATACTTCACTAGATATTCCTTCATGCGATCAGGTAGCAAAGGGAAACAAACCTGTGTTAATTATACTAGTATTTATTATGCACCTGTGGTATGTCTGCTGCTTGTGCTGGAAAATGGAAGTTCTCCAAGCATAGCCCAGCCCCCTTCTGAATAAGAGGTGTGTAGTTCAGAACCCAACATATTAGCTTGTCCCAACAAAGAATGTGTTGTGCAGTGATGTTTTGGTTTTTATTTGTTTCCGGGATGTGTTACCATTGTAGGAGCAACAGTTTTTATCTGTGAGACACACATAATTCTCATCAGCTCTCTGTACTCTCTTGGCTTCCATCTTCTCTCTGCTGGAAATCCATGACCTCAGTTGGGGGGCATGTTCTTGCCATGGCTCAGTCATATAATTGCTTTGTTTAATGATCTCAGACTCTGTGTCTCCAGCAGCTTCTTGGCACCCTGGACATGGTATTGGGGTGTTTACTGCAGTCTTTGAGCAGGCAGAAGATAAACCTCATTCCAGAATGCCTTACCATGGCAAAGAGCAATTCAACAATTCTCACTTTGCTTTCTATGGCCAAGCCGTACCGGAACCCCTCAGGCGGAAATCAACAAGAAATCAAAAGGAACGAGCACAAATGTGACCAGCCACATGGCTCCTGGCGCACCTACTTCTGTGTTCATTCCATCGGTGACCTGATGTGGGCCACTGGCTTTCCCTGTCTCTGCTCTGTGCTTGCTTTCCTCTCTTAACCCCGAGAAAAGGTTTGGAGAAAGATTCTTTTCAGCCCAGCTAAAGGGGAACATTCTCCTGCCTAAATTTCCTGAAGAATTCCGTACTTCTCCTTCACAGTATTTTGTGCACTTATAATGTCACAGTTTTGTCAGAGTTACGTGCAGTGATTTGATTAAATCTGCCTCTTCTGCTGGCTAGCAAAGCTCCAAGGGATTGTGGACCATGGTCCATCTGGGTCATTGTGATAGTCCAAGGGCCTGGCACAGAGTGAGCACCCAGTAAATATTTGCTGGCTCACAGACTGGTTCCTGTAAATCCAACTAAATTTAGCATTACTACAACGTAAGCTTCTCGGGGGCAGTTGCCTATGTCCGTCCTGGGCATCCGTTCACCTCTGTCTCCCCAGCTCCCAGCATAGTGTCAGGCATGCCGTAGACCCTCAATAAATATGTGTTAACTAAATAAGCACTCACAATCGGAGCTTCCAGTGAGCTGGATAACTGTAGTTTTTGAATATTAAAACCCATTTAACAATTGTCTGTAACACATTGTTCTTTTTCTCTCTTTTCTGTTACTCTCTTTAGAGCAAGTATCACCACAGGCTGTTCCTCCTTCATGGAGTCTGAGCTGCTACTATTGCTATAAAGTTGTTTCTCCACTTAAGTAATATATAATCAGCACACAGACAGTTCGTGTCGCAGAATGCCAATAACTCGTCTACATACCGTTTCAGACCACCTGCTCAGGGCAATGCTACCAAATCCAAAAATACGAATGATGGCCTCCAAACTGACAAGGCAAATAAGAGGGCAGGAAAGAGAAGGCAGGCAGCCTCACAAGGCTCCAAACCTCTACTAGGAGATGCCAGGCTTGTCTTTAATGGCAATTTTTCTTAAACGTCACAACAAATTTGTGAAGTAAATACTATTACCTCTGTTTTGCAGAAGTTGAAACTGAGAGGTTTATGAAATATGCCCCAGACTGAAAAAAAAAAAAAACAACACTTTCCAGTGTTTCATCAGGAACATTTTCAGTTATACAGGAAAACTAGATTCTATAATCAACATTTTACTGTTCTCACCCTTTCACCTGTATATCTGTATTTCAGTCCCTCTCTGCCTCTATTGATCCATCTTAGTTTCTATGCGTTTGAAAGTAACTTGTGTATAATTAACTTGAGTTCAATATTTGTTTAAGTTCTTTTCTTTTCCCCCCTTGAGACATTTTACATTCAAGGATGTGCACAAATCCTAAGGGTACCATTATATAAATTGAGAAAAGCACAGATGTATGTATACTCCAAATCTCCCAGGACCATCATCATGGCAGCATGACCATCATCCCAGAAAATCCCTTTATGTCTTTTCTGCTTAAATTCCCATCTCAACCTCTGAAAGCAACCGGTGTTCTGGTTTTTTCCCACACAGTGGCCTTTCTGTGTTCTATTTCTTCATATCATAGAGCATGTACTCCGGGTAAGGCTCCTCTCACTGAGCAGAATTTTGAGAGTCATCTACGTTTGTCTGTGTATTAGGAGTATATTCTGTGTATTGCTGACTAGTATTTCCTGGGTAAATATAGCATAGTTTATTTATTCGTTTTCCTACTGATTGGCATCTGGGCCACTTTGCTTTGGCTATTACAAATAAAACTGTTAGGAGCATTCTTGTACAAGTCTTTTTGCAGAACATAACATTTCAAAGCACAGCGGTCCAAGTCCACTTGATTCCAAAGCCCACATACTTTCACTACACCCCGTTGCTTCTCTGCGGTATGTCCCATTACACTGTGTTTATGTGGAATGTACCTCCTGAGATTTTAATCCTAAAATGGTTCATTACCGTGTAAACACAAATGGGGAAATATGACCTTTAGAAAAAAACATCCAGATACACGTTCAGGTCTTCATTAGCCATGCTCCAATAGAATATCCACCTTGGTGTGAGTTTTGGGGAAAGATTTATTATGTTACCTGTTTCTACTATCTAAATAAGTCCTTTTTCTAAAAGTTTTCAAATATAAATTTTTTTATGTGTAGACTGTTATCAATCATATCAATTAAAGGTCCTCAAATTACAAAAGAAATGTGGTTAAATTCATTATGATATATTCACTTGACATAAAATTATAAAAGAACTCATTAAAAGAAAGACACTGTAGCAATATAAGAAAATGTTATTGCTATTATTTTAAATGGAAAAATCAGAGTAGAAAATTGCATGCTGATTACTGCGACAATTTTAAAAAATATATATGCATCTTGGTGGAGACTAGAAGGGAAGTTGGAGAAAAATGAAAATAACAAATACATTGAAATGGCACTCTTAGGTCACAGAAGGAATTTAGACTAGCCCTCATCGTGTGTAAGTCACATGTAAAAAAGTATTTTCTGAAAAATATGTTTTCTTGATGTTGTTATTGTGTATCTGATAAGTATAAATCTGAAGAAAAGGTCTTCAAAGGTAGGGTTACCATAGACCATTGTGCACTTTACACATTATACAAATACAAATGATCCATTCCCATTCATATAGACGGCAGAAGTTTGTTTCCTTATGAAACAAATTTTCCAGAAAACGAAAGTGAAAATGTTACAATGAAGAGCAGCCTTTTCTAATTTGCACAAAGATGCATTTGTGCAATTGATGGGGTGGTTCACATTATAATCTTTCTTTAAATTACGCTGCATTGTCTATCAGTTTGGCCTATATCTACTTTTGCTCTGCTTACAGGAACTGAGGAGCCTTCTCCATTCTGTTAGCTATTTTTTCCAAATGAATTATTTCCAGTTCTAGAATTTCCCTCAGCACTAGTACCATGCTCCT